CACACACACAAAGGAAATCCCCAGGCCAGCAAATAATTATTTTCGTCCTTTTCAAGAGTCCACAGTGTATTTAATTGCTTATTTTTGATAAATGAAAAAATTGAAGCTAGAAAATCAAAGCTTCCAAATAAATGGAATAGAAGTGCCTATGAACTGCTCTGGTCTTCTTTATTAGAAGATAGCTCTTTACAGTTTATAATTGCAGTTGTGGTCCACATAATAACTAGCATGAGTCATTAAGTGGCCTACACTACTTGCTTCTGATGTTTAATGTTATCTCATGCCCTGTTGCTATTTCATCATATTGTTCCTTATTTTCACCTTGTTTATTATTTTAAAAGAGTAATTGTACTTATGCCATTTTTCTTGCATGCAGCGGCCAGTGAAGTGCCAACTGCTCCTCTCTCAAAGATCAGAGAGCAAGTGACAACCCTTTGCATCAACATTCTGCACTCTTATCGTAAATTCTGTGCCACAGTGTCATCCTCGGGACAACTTATCCTTCCGGAGGCACTTAAACTTCTTCCTCTTTACACACTGGGTATATCTTGCATTCCTTTTACCCTAGCCTTTCATTTCCCAAAGATTTAACAGAGTTGGTTTATACATGCAGTATAATGTACAATTAACTCTCTTCTATAATTTTCTTTTCTTTTCCTTTTTATATTTAAGTTGACATATTGGTCAAAATGCCTATACCCCTCTCCTCTATGTTCCACCTTGGTTTCCTTTTGTTGTTATTCTTTAAGATTGTTTATTCAGTGTATTATATTAGTTGAGCTAATGTTAATCATATGAAGGAAAATAGTGCCAAGAAAAGCTAAATGAATCAATGATCACCCACTCTTTTCATCTAAACATTATGTGCATTTAGCTTCCGAATGCTTCGTATGTATAGCGAATATTGAATGTCTGCCTGCCTGCCTCTAGTCTCTTTGTTGCTACAAAACTATTTCCTGTAACTTGTTTGAAAAAAATAATGTAATAGCTATGTTAATATAAGTTTTCTTAATTTTTCAGCTTTGCTTAAAAGCACTGGACTTAGAACTGATGGACAGATCGATAGTAGGTCCTTCTGGATTAATTACGTTTCCCCACTCTCTACTCCATTGGCAATCCCTCTGGTCTACCCTAGATTGATAGCCATTCACGAACTCGATACAGAGGTATGGACATGTATTTATGGATTTACTTCCCTTTTTTCTTTTGCCTTTCTAAGTCAACTTGGTAGTTTTATTCATTTTCTCGATTCATTTTGAACATTATTTTAGGATTACATTTCTTACATCTCATTCTGTAACTGAACTTGCAGGAGAATGGCGATTCTCTTATTCCTCCTTCTATTCCACTTTCCAGTGAACAGATCAGTGACAACGGGATCTATCTTCTCGAGAATGGCGAGGACTGTTTGATATATGTTGGGAACTCTGCAGATCCTAGTGCTATCCGTCAGCTGCTAGGCATTTCATCTGTTGAAGAAATTCCTGCTCAGGTAAATTGGCATGTCTTTCCCTGTTGATTGGTAATATTATTCTAAATGTACGAGGAGGTAAAAGAGGGGAAAACATTCTCAGCACCTGTTTTCCTAGGATCCTCATATAGAGATTTGATCCATGTGCTGAAACACAAGTGCTTTTAATTTGTATATATTATTCTTGATTGCTTCGGTTAAACTGTATGAATCCATGGTGGTCAGATGTGTCAGTCGGGTAAGTTATTGCAAGCAAAGTATGATGCTTGCATTCAGCCACCCTCTCCTATTTGATGGTTTGTTTTTGTGCCATTTCGTTCGACAAAGTTCCATCTTAAAAGTAGACTTGGGTTTGTTTTTTGGGTGGGGTTGGGGTCTCCTGTATGCTGTTTGTTTATACTTTGTTCTCCAACTTATTAGTCTCTTGGGTTTGTTAGGTTCTTGATGGACAGAGCAATCAAATGTTTCTTTTTTTTTTCCTTGGTGAAGCGAAGCAATTACCTATTATAATTTAGCTCCTCTGCTTAAATTCTGAATTTTCCATATTTCTCCTCAGTTTGTTCTGCAGCAGTATGACAATCCACTTTCTAAGAAGCTCAACGATATCATTAATGATATTAGACGCCAAAGGTGTAACTTTCTCCGGTATGATTCTTCTTTTTATGTGTATTTGCTCCTCTCTTTACTTCTACCTTTTAGGAGATGGTCCCTCAATTACATTTCATTACTTATAAATCAAAAGGAATGTAAATGGTGAAGTCTTACCTATAACACTTAATATTTCTAATTTCTGAAATGTTCTCATTCTGATCTTTGCAGCTTAAAATTANAAAATCGTAAATTAGTCATGAAGTGGATGAAAGGAGAAGGGACGGAATAACTAATCATCAAACTGATCTAAATAGTTTAATCATTTTAATCAATCAAATATTTACCCTGCATTCATAGCTGCCTGGTGTTAATACTTCATATGAGATCTTGCAATGACTAATCATCCTCGCTTTGTTTATTAACTCACCTTTAGCCATTCCAGATTTGCAAGTTTTAAAAAAATCACTAGGTATTCCAAGGTCTATCTGAGGTTAGAACTATTGTATCGTAGCAGGCTGTCTTCTACTCTTCTTTTAAGCCGTATAGCTTTAAATACCAATGAGGCAAAAAGAATGATTATACAAACATCTCCCAAAGGATTTCTACATGCAAGAAGCATGCTCCTGTCAGATTGATTTGGAATGAGAAGCTCAAATGTTTTTCTTCATATGATGTTCATTCTTGGTCTTGCCACTAGTATGTTCTTAACGTTTGAATTTCTCTTTGTTAGGCATGTTATTTTTCTCACACATGGTAGAAGACAAGACACAAAGTGGACTTTCATACGTCGAGTTTCTAGTGCATATCCATCGGCAAATTCAAAATAAGATGGCTTGAGAGAAGATGTCCAGTTCTCTTCATGAATTTTGACGATAGAGAAGGGGTACAGATGGTTTCAGTATGAAGAGGCGCAAATAAGCTTTCGAGGAGCGGCCTCATCCATGAATGTTCTGTTGAAAAGCAGGAAAAGATAGTTTAGATGTCGGAGCCCTTGAAGAATTTTTGAAGTGTAGCACATAAAGAATGAAGAAGAAGCGTGATTTTTTCTGTACTTTCACAGTGATAGTGTGTTATTTATTCTGTTTATTTTTCTTGATGTGATTTGTAAAACTAAAATAGATAAAAGGGTTTTGTTGACTACATGGAGGATGGTGTCAAAAAAGTGGTTCTTTTTCTACCGTGTCTTAAGTAGCGAATGATGTCTTGAATCCAAGAGCAGCATTAGCTGAACCGAACTCTGAAGATAGAGCTATTTGAGCTTTTCAATTGACTGAATATGCTCAAACTTTGTGGATAGAGTTACCCGGTACCTATGCCGGTGGGAAATCATAGGTGCCTCGTGCAATTAGTCGATGTGCGCACAAGCTGGCCGGGATATTACGGTTATAAAAAAATAATACTGTTTCAGTCGAGCTATCAAATTTCCCTCAATACTCTGGGATTTTATTATTAAAAAGCGTATCAGGAATTAAGTTTTAGTTCTCACGTTAGTAAAACAATAACTTTCCATCATAAAGATTAGTGTGAGCTGGCACAGGGGAAACAAGTAGGCAAATATATGAATGAGTGAGTTGAATGGTTATGAACCCTAGAAAATTGTTTTCTTATTGATCCGAGCAAGCAAGCAATTTGCATGGTGAAAAAGGGTATTTCAAGTTCATTTTTACGAGCATACAAGCCAAAGAGTCTAATTAATGCTTTTCTGTTTTTACTTTATGAGATATGGTCATATTTTTGCATGTTTAACTGTTTTAAGTGTCAATTACAGAGACGACGACAACAACGACCCAGTGAAATCTCACTAGTAGGGTATGGGGAGGGTAGTGTGTACGGAGACCTTGCCCCTACCCGAGGGAGTAGAGAGACTGTTTCCGAAAGATCCTCGGCTCAAGAAGACGAAACGAGACAATATAGAAATAATAACAGCATTATAAAGACCAGAAAATAGATGAAAAGCAAAAGCGATAGCCATTATATAGACTTGGCGCTATGAAAAACGAAATAGCAGTAAGACACAACATTAACCACTAGCAGTCTAAAAAAAAAATTCTATCAGACTAGCCTCACAAAGGTACGAAGTAGGAAAAGACTCAACTATCTCCTAACCTACAATCCTAATACTCGACCTTCAAAGCTTCCTATCAAGGGCTATGTCCTCGGAAATCTGAAGTCTCGCCATGTCCTACCTGATTACCTCTCCCTAATACTTCTTAGGTCGCCCTCTACCTCTTCTTGTGCCTTCCAAAGCCAACCGCTCACACCTCCTTACCAGAGTATTTGTGCTTCTCCTCTGAACGTGCCCGAACCATCTGAGCCTCGCTTCCCGCATCTTGTCATCAATGAGAGTCACACCCACCTTTTTCTGAACATCATCATTCGTGATCTTATCCATCATAGTGTGCCCGCACATCCACCTCAACATCCTCATTTCTGCTACTTTCATCTTCTCGATATGTGAGTTCTTAATAGGCCAACACTCAGCCCCATACATCATGGCCGGTCTAACCACCGCTCTATAAAACTTACCTTTGAGTATCGGTGGCACTCTCTTGTCACACAGGACTCCAGATGCTAACCTACACTTCATCCACCCCACCCCAATACGGTGTGTGACATCACCGTCGATCTCCTCTCCTCTCTGGATAACCAACCCAAGGTACTTGAAACTACCTCTACTTGGGATGACATGTGATTCAAGCCTCACATCCACGTCCGCTTCCCTCGGCTTAGTGCTGAACTTTCACTCTAGGTATTCCGTCTTAGTCCTGCTCACCTTGAAACTCTTAGACTTAAGGGCATGTCTCTAAACCTCTAGCCTCTCGTTAACACCGGCTCGTGTCTCATCAATCAGAACTATGTCGTCAACGAATAACATACACCATGGCACCTCCCCTTGAATATCGTGTATTAGCGCATCCATCACCAGGGCATATAAGAACGAGCTGAAAGCAGAACCTTAGTGCAACCCCATAACAATCGAAAAATTCTCTGAGTCGCCTCCTACCGTCCTAATTCGAGTCTTAGCCCCATCATACATGTCCTTAATCGCCCTAATATAGGCAACCGATACACCTTCTGCCTCCAAGCATCTCGAGAGAACCTCTCTAGGAACCTTGTCATACACTTTCTTTTAGATCAATAAACACCACGTGCAGATCCTTCTTCCTCTCCTTGTACTGTTCCAACCTCCTAATAAGGTGTATAACTTCCGTTGTAGAACGACCCGACATGAATTTGAACTGATTGTCGGATATAGACATTGTCCTCCTCACCCTCACTTCAACCACCTTCTCCCAAACTTTCATGGTATGACTCGTTAATTTTATACCTCTATAATTGTTACAACTCTGGATATCACCTTTTGTTCTTATACAACGGAACCACCGTACTCTACCTCCACTCATTTAGCATCCTTTTCGTCCTAAAAATAACATTAAATAGCTCAGTCAGTTACTCCAAGTCTGCTCTACCCACACACTTCCAAAATTCAATCGGAATTTCGTCTGGCCCGGTCGCTCTGCCCCTACTCATTTTACGAATAGCTCCCACGACCTTCTCAACCTTGATGCGCCTGCAGTACCCAAAGTCACAGTGACTTTCGGAATGCTCCAGTTCACCTAGCACAATATCCCGAACCCCTTCTTCATTCTGAAGTTTATGAAAGTAAGCCTGCCATCTCCTCTTAATCTGGGTATCTCCCATCAATACTCTACCATCCTCGTCTTTAATGCATATCACTTGGTCCAAATCCCGAGCCTTCCCCTCTTCCTCTCTCTCTCTCTCTCTTGTCTTGGCCAACCAGAATAACTTCTTCTCCCCGCCTTTTTCCCCCAGTTCCTCGTATATACGACCAAAAGCTGCAGTCTTAGCCTTCGTGACCGCCAGCTTAGCCTCTTTCCTAGCTACCTTATACCTCTCCATGTACGCTAGCCTCTCCTACTCACTTGTGCTCCCTCCTAACTTCAGGCACGCCACCTACTTCGCTTCCACTTTACCTTGGACCACTTTATTCTACCACCAGTCTCCTTTGTGCCCGCCAGAGTAGCTCGTCGAGACCCCTAACACCTCTCTCCTCCCTTATACAATTTGCTGCCGTCGATCATATAATGCTCGCATCACCACTGCTCCTCTAGGCTCCCATAGCTGACAACCGCCCCTCCAACTCCTGAACTTTATCCTTAGTTAAGGCTCTCCACTTGATTCTCAGTCGTCCTCAGATAGACCTTTTCTTCCTCTTTAACATAATACCAACGTCCATCACCAAGAGCCTATGTTGCATAGAGAATGATCATGAACTTTTGCGACATAGAGTATAGGGTGAAGACGCACTAATAAGAATATGCCCGATAATTTTGTATATAGATAGTCAGTAGATATCTTAAACGCATAGATCAACTAGATAATGCAGTTGGTGGACTAAATCTACTAACGATAGTAACTTGTGGGACGTAGCTCATGAAGCGGGCGTGGAAGTAAGGCTTGATATACAGGTTAATTTGAATAGAGGAAGTTTCAAGTTTTGGGTCAATAATTCAAGGTAATGGGAGATAGACGATGATGTCATCCACCGTATTGGGACACGATGGATGAAATGGAGGCTCGCATTTGATATCTTGTGTGATAAAAATGTATCACAAAGGCTTAAAAGTAAGTTCTATATAGTGGTTATTAGGCTGACTATGTTGGATGAGGTAGAGTGTTAGCTAGTCAAGAGTTCACATGTCTAAAAGTTGAAAGTAGCAAAAATGAGTATATTGAATGTGTGGGCATACTAGGATAGATAATAGGACAAGGCATAAGTGGACCCCGTGGTGGACAGTTCGAGCATGTAAAGAGGAGAGGTTCGAATGCCCTAGTGAGAGTGTGCGATGTTGGCCTTGGTGGGTTTGAGAAGAGGTAAATAAAGGCCAAAAAAGTATTGAGTAGAGTTAATAAGGCATGACATGGCACATCTACAGCTTACCGAGGACGTGGATCTTGATAAGAAGGTGTGGAAGTCGAAAATTAGGGTAGAAAACTAGTAGGTAGTCGCACGCTTTATCCTTTTCTTACCTATAGTATCAATAGTATTCTCTTAGGGGTCGTTTGGTTGGAAAAAAAGTTATCCCGAGATTAATTATCTCGGGATTAGTTATTCTATCCTCTTATAGGGATAAAAAAAATACTATAATCCCGAGATAA